ATCTATGAAATTCAACACATTTTAAAGTTAATTAAAAAAACTTCAACCAAAAATATTAGAAAATAGAGCAAATTGGTTGTCTGTACAAAGCCAAAAGGCCAACTTCAATTTAGGCAAAAAATATTGATATCAGCTAGTTAACAATTAGTGTGCAAGTAATTGGCAGTTAAACTTGAAGTAAACGGTATCAATTTATGATTAGCCAGAATATGAATATTTCAATGAATTCCTGTGTCATTTATAATCGTTTCCAATTAAGCCACATATCAAAACTTATATTATTTATGAGCACTTCAAAGACGCTCAAAGTGTATTTACTCGATTTATATTCTCTTTATCAGCGCCATGGACCATGCCTGAGCTCACTTTTCGCTATTTGGCAGCTGCTCGGAGCACTTTGACTGCGGCTATGTCAATAAATGAGCGTTGAGCTATTTACAAAGCATTAAATTGTAATTTTTTTTAATTACACACAAAAGATTTAATGGCTGCTGCGGTAATAATATACAACAGACGTTGCCGGCGAGAGTAGCCAACGGACAGACACACACCCGCCCATATTACTGGCAACTGATTAAAAAGCATAGCGCGGAAAAGTATGCAACGCTTAATTACATAAACGGCAGCGCCTGAAGCTGCATGAGGAACCGAACATGAAGCACGGCAGTAGCCAGCCAACGGTCTGGTTAAGTTTATCCCAGATATGGCGGCACACTCGCCACACCCAATATAAAGACAGACAGAGAGAGCTAGTGAGAAAGAAGACAAGAGCAAGAGCAAGAGCAAGTCAGATATCTGCGCTCAAGCTGGCGTGCAAAATCGAGATAATAAGAAAATGAAGAGATTTATATTGTTTTTTTTTTTTTTTTTTTTTTTTTTTTTGTGTCTACGCGCCAAGTGACCAATTAAAGTGAACAACTAAAAGTCTTCGAGTCACTCGCTCACTGGCCACCCGTCCCACTGTCAAGCCAGCGGCATGTACCGCAAAATGTCTTCGTTTTTCCCGCTGAGATTCAGCTGACAGCATGGCCCAGCATGTCCTTGCTCCTGTCTGTTTGCTTAGCTATAAAATTATTCTCAGATTTCTAATGATGCTCGGCAACGTGGCCATGGTTATGTGGCCTGCGCGCTCTGGAAGAGCAAACTAAATTAGTGCCGCGAGCCTCTCCAGCAACAGTCAACAGTTGCCCCAGAGTCGTAAATATAAGTTGGCCCGAACTAATATGCCAGTGCGTTTATGTGGCCCACAAATCTTGAGCAAAGTAAACGCGCGCCCTTCACATTGGAAATGGAAAATGCCAGCTACCGCTTCGGAACTCGTGCCTCTACACCTTTGACTGTGAGCTGCTGTGACTTCAGAATGCAATTGTTATATGCCCTATAAAAGAGAATAAGAATTGGGCGAGCTGATAATATATAAAGTTTTTTAATTCAATTAAGAATAATAAAAAAAAAATAAATAAAAATAAAAGAAAGAAATACGTAAATTTTGAATCGAACTGATTTGATTAAAAATTTCTTAGCTCATCTAAGTATTATTTATAATGATATTATATTATTCTTTTAAGGACATATATATATCTATTCTCTAAGACAAAGATTATCAATTTTTTCTCATATATCTAGGTTCATTAATCACTTTACATTAAAGTAATTTAATAATTTAAAATAAAATTATTCGTTTAACTATTCTTAAAATTAAAATTGTTGTCATTTATTATTTATTACTTCTTGCTTTGCTTTTCTTTACTTAATTTTGTTTTAGATTCTACATTTTTCAAAATTTTTACTTTAAAAATATTTTTTGAACAACCAAAGTTCTTTCGCGTGGTATTTTTTAGTCCATACCTCTTCTTTAATTCACTTTTGCCTTTCTTGTTTTATCGTATGTTTGCTGTTTGTTGCCAACACACTAATTACCGCAATTAATTATGCTGCCTGCTGAACAAGTTCTCTACATCTTTCTGTCTCTCTCTTTCTCTCTCTCTCACTCTCCTCATTTTCTCCCTGCATTGAGACCAGAACTTTTAGCTGCTATTTTTGTTGGGTTGGCTTAAATTTTGACTGAAGGTTGGGCCTAAGCTCATAGTATTTCGGGCTTGTGTGTGTGTGTATGCGTGTGCATCAGTAAGCTTATGTGTGTGTGTTTCAACATTCCTTGTTGCACAATTTAAGAAGCCTTTATTCAAAGACTTTTTGATCATGGAATGCACTTGTGTAGGTTGTTCAAAGTGCATTTGATATAGTGGAGTAAGTGGAGAAAACTTTTAAGAACTTTAGTTTCCATGAATATTTGTGTAAATAATGAACGATGCGTTAGCGTATACTGCATACGTGTGTGTATATCAATATGTATGTATGACTCTATACATCAAGAAACTCTTGAAGTCGATTTAGCCCTGTCCGTCAGTCAGTCAGTCCTTTTGTCCGTCCGTCCGAGCCCTCAAGGTCATTGACCCCTCAAGGTTATTAACCCTTCAACGTTACTGACCCTTGAAGGTCACTGCCCCTCTCTGAAATTTTGCATGCATACTGTGAATGTGAAAATGGAGGGCAATATTCAATACGAGCCTAATTTGACTGAAGATTTAAATGGATATATATATATAATGGATACGAAGATTTTGTAATTTATAGATTTCGGATACCACGGCCCCTTTGCCACCAATTCAAAAAAAAAAAAAAAAAACTTTTTTCAAGTACTAGAGACTTGTGCTTTGGAATATACACACATTTAAAAAAAATGTTCTTAGTTTTCAAGTTATTAATTAATACCCGATAATTTGGATTTTTCCCCATAGTGCACTGCAGCGCAGCCCAAGCGTATGTGTATGAATGTGTGCATAAAAGAAGTGCAGAATGATTCGAGCATCAGCTTAGAGGGTTCAGGGTATTTCCTAGTCGAGCAGTCTCGACTAGATCCTTCTTACTTGTTCTTTAAAGCTTTTTAATCATACCAACACTTTACCGTTTTTCGCAGTTGCAGTGAACTGCAAATCCAAGCCAAAAATGAAAAGTCAGTTGCAAATAAATTGATATCAGCTTGTTGCCCAAAATTTAAAATGCTATGTGATAGGCACACACACATGTGCATGTTGACTATCGCCGAACCGTATAAACAAAGAGAGGAAAAAAAACAGCGCTGACACAAAAATAGCATTGGCTTAATAAACTCGAACAAGAACTGAAATGACAGCTGCAGTTTCCAGTGTTGGCGAGAGAGACTTTAGTCGGGCAAGCCAAAAAGAAAAACAACACAAAAACAAAAAACAAAAAAACAAAGGCAATAGCAAAGAGTGATGTGAGAGGCAGTGATAGACTCGAAAATATGCTATAAGAGGATATACAGAAATAATTAGATGGATAGAGAGGCTGTGAGGCTATTCGTCTCATTAATAGGAAAATATAGGATAATAAAGGCTGAGAAGCAAGAGGTATATATTTTTTTTGATTAGCATATTTGCGCAGAAATTTTAAATAATTTATTAATATTTGTTATTCAATCATAGAAGCCTCATAAGCCTCCTAGATAAATACGCAATCAGCTTTCCAGCTTGCATTACACCCCTTGTAAACGAAACAAAATTTACAGGATGTGTAACAAAAGCAAACGCCATCGATTTAGGCTAAAAGCGTGCAGCTTCGCTAACGCCATTTAGCCGAAAAAAAAAAAAAACCAAATTGAAGAAGAGTCAGAGTTTTATTCTCGTATAGCAACTCGTTTGGCCTTTAAGGGATTTTTAGCGTTTGTTTAAATGAGAGTTGCAAATGCGGCCCAGATGGCTTGGCACTGACATGGGCTCATTATATGTACGCTTTGCCTTTGACAGCTGAATGTGGACTGCGGATGGTTGATTGTTGATTGTTGAGCGATGTCCGCCCGGTTTAGCAAATGGCTGCCACATTTTGTGGCACGAACGCAATAGCAGGCCAATGCAAAACAATTACACAAATGTCAGCCAGGAGCTGCTGCTCCTGCTCCTGCTGCTCCTCTTCTGCTTCTGCTCCTGCTGCGCCTTCTGCTGGTACTTCTGCTGCCGCAGATGTCCAGCTGGTAATAGCAAATGCTAATGCCTAATGCTTGATGCTACTATGACGCACAAATAGAAATGTGTACAGCGAAAAATAGTATTTAACGCGCGGTTTGGCAATAAATGTCAGTCGGGGCCAAGGCCCGCAATATGCCGGCTGCCATTGTCATTTTTCGCATTCTCATTCGCGTCCGCATCCGCATCCGCATCCGCAGGTCCCATCCACATTTGCGCTATTTGCCATTCATCTGATTTATGTGGCTGTCAACGCGACCCCAGGAGTTTACCATCAGTCGATGCTAGTTACAGAACCAGAACCCACTGCAGTGCCACCCGCTCTCCCTGTCCCTCTCTATCTCTCTCTTTCTCTTTCTCTCTACCGTCTGGCCGCAGTTGACACATGCATACGGCAAACGTGGCTGATTGACAAACCTCTATTTGCCAAAATGAACCGCTTGACATGCGGTTTGACGGCTCTCCTGGCCACAGCGGTTGCCTCGGCTCTGGACCACTGCACCAGCTGCTGCTGCTGGCTAAAAATTGTATTTGTGCCAGGCGCAAACAATATGCTTTGATTGCAATTCCAAAGCTTTGTATCGCCCACATACGCATCAAGAGTCAAGAGTCCCAAAAATCCGTTTTCATAGCAAATAAGATAGTCAACAGCATAATTTCTGCCTGTATTAATATTTGATTTTGTCCGGCTTTGAATGGTATGAGAGATGAAGAAAAAATGCTTCGTATTAGGTTTTAATGATTATGCTATTGGCTTAATTATCATAAGATAAGCTGATTAAGAATTATTCCTAGATGAAGTGAAATGCTGATTTATTTCAACAAAATATATAAATTTGTAAAAAAATAAAAAATTAGAAAATTAAGATTTATGAATATAAATCATCTTAGTTAATCATACAAAACCATCCCCTAGTAATCTCTACTATCCACACAGAGAAAACGAAATGCTGATTAAAACCTAATATTATCTGAGTCATTTTATTTCATTTGAAAGTCATTTACATAAGTGAAACACATTAAAATTTGGTAATTTCCAAAGTTTGTGACAGATCGAGCAGCTAGCGAGCCATTAAAATTAAATTTGCTTTGCAGTTATGGGTAAATCGTCGTCATCGCATTCAGAGTGGGAGGAATAGTCCAGCTGGGAGGTGATGTGAATGTTGCGCACGGGATACTTGGTCTCCGTGTCCGTTAGCACCATGGAGCTACTGTAGGTGTTGATTTTGCGAATCACATCGGACACGCTTATCCTGGGCTTCCGTTTCTTCAGTCTGGATTTCCGTCTTGAGGTCGTTGAGTTAACTGAGAATGTCCTGGTTACGCACCGGCCGGACTTCGTGACATTGTTGATGGAAAATTTCGAATCGAATCGCACTTCTGGCTGAAATTCATCATCGTCTTCCGTTTGCAGCTCGGACGCTTCAGTCTCAATTGGACAGTAATCCAAGTCATTGGAGCCTTGGGCATCAGTTTGATAGTAATCCGAATCGTACAGCTCACTCTGTACCTCCTCTTCGAACGTTTGCCGTTGGGCATAACCGCCTAATGCATTGCCGCCGGTCAGACGTTGTTCATGCACGAACTCAAAGTTGATGCCGCCAAAGACAGAACCATTGGTATTGATGGTATTGCGCACATCAATCACACAGAACGTGAGTATTTCCTGGAACAGGCCCAGGCTGTTGGCCTCCTTGATGCCATCATCGGTGACCAGCAGGCAGCCCAGCACAGTGCCGCTGGCAATGTCCCGCACGTTCACATGGTAAATATTGTCCGCCCGCAGCAAAATAGTCAGAGTAATATCCTCGAAGCACCGCTTGCCCATTATCTTGAACAGTGAGAACTGCATCGTGTTGATAATAGGCAGATCTTTGTTCTTGCAGAACTCACACAAGCTCGAGGCCTTGCGCTCAAGCGGGATGTCACCTTTGTTCGTTGTTGTATTCTTCTTTTGACCACTGTCAGCAGGGCTGGGCTTGGGCTCCTTGGGTGGCTCCTTGGGTGGCTCCTTGGGTGGCTCCTTGTGTGGCTCCTTGGGTGGCTCTTTAGGTGGTTCCTTAAGCAGTGTTTCCCTGGCAGTCTCCAAGCATTTGTACTTATCGGATAGACCCTTAACACACTCGCAGAGCTGTTTCAACTGATCGTTCATTATGTTCAATTTCTGCTTTTGGTCGATTTCCTCTTCGATCTGCTTTTCCAATTTCTTCTTCAGCGCGCATAATTCCTGAGTAATTTCTGGTATCTTCTCGCATTCGGCACATTTCATCTTATCTGTTTCCGTTTGCTTCGATTGATACCTGACGCTCTTTGCGGATTCCTTGGGCTTTGTGCTTGGAATGGGATTTGAAGTCGGACTCGGAGTTCGATTTGGATTTGAGATTGGCTCCGCATTATCGCGTGGTAAGCTTCTTGTTGAGGGACATCTGGGTATTTCTTTTGGCGCAACTTCGGGAGCTTTCGGGCATTCCTGTGGCATCTTCTTGGGGACCTCCTTCTCTCTGAATAGACAGCACTTGAAACGCGTCTTGGAACTGGATCCTTTTTCGATAGACCGCTTTGAGGGCACAACAATCACCGGCAGCTTGCACTTGCATATGTATTTGTTTTTCTCTTTGGGTTTCTGCCGGTTTTTCTCCTTGTCTGAGTCGTCTTTTTCTTTTCTTACCAACTCCTTCTCATTGGCTAGCCTCTCCGGGCAGGTGGGGTGTGGTGGAGCATTGCATGGACAGTTATCGGGCTTCGCTCCGCACGTGGGTACGGGTATTGGCATAAACGACATAGGCGAGGAATCATTAAATCCAGTTAAGCGTCCACCACTCAAACGGTCACGGATCCTAGATTTTTTCAGCGATTCATCTAACGCCAAGGCTAAGCAATTTAGCCGTTCCGCGCGAATCTTTGCTCTCAGGTATCTTTCATAAACACGAGCAGCATCTGCAAGATTATAAATCCCAATCGAATTTTATTAATTTTTGTATTAAATACTTACCCATTATCTAACTTAACTCTAAATTTATTTCTATACCAAATAATTTGAACTCCGACTACTCTCATCTGTCCCAGTTTCTAAACTGAGTCCATTTGACATCTTGACACCTGCTTTGTAGCAAAATTATAATAAATGATTTGATTCCCATTGCCTGCTGGCCCCAAGCCTTAAGCCCAATCCATTTGCTCTTCAAATATTTCCCAACAGCTACTCAAGCCTTTGCCAATTTATGTTTCTGACTGGGGTTGACAGCTACCTTTTGCTTCAAAGCCTGCATTCCCAAGTAGATTTAAATTGACAGCAAGTCCGAAATTTCGACGGCAATAAGCAAACCATTTTGTCTACAAACTGACTTCAAAAGCCAAGCAAAATAATGTTTAACTGGCAATAGTATAATTAATTTCCATTGGCTTGGTATAAGAATAGAAATTATATTTATCCATACCAGATCTATTTTGTATAACATTTGATGCAAGTGCACACCTGTCTAACAGGTAATTATACGAATGTAAGGCAAGGTAGGAACTGAACTTATTAACACGGGTAACTATTTGTGCTTAGAAGTACTTCATCATCATAGGCATTAGGTAACACAAGAAAGAGATGAACAACGATAATAATTCCAGTCTAACTGACTGAATCTTACAATTTGTACATTTCAATCTTAAGTTAAATATATTTTCAGCTTTGGCACACCCATTAAAAGATTTTATAGACGAAAACACATGTGCAAATAAATATTATATTTAGTTTTATTTATCTTTTGCTCAGTTGGCACACAAAACCACAAAACATTTAAACATTGGCAACATTTTTACTTGAGATACATACATATATTTGTTGTTGATTTATTAAATCCAATTTCTGTTTGCACTAGTTCTATTTTTTTTTTCCTATTTGTATTTGTATTTTCATGTTTGCTCTTTTACTTTGCTTCAATGGACAGTTTTTGTATGTTTATTAAACTTTTAGTTTTATTTACGTCTGACTCAGTTTGGATTTCATGCTTATATTGTTTTCGTTAAGCTCAATATTCTTATATTCATTAAAATATGATTTGTAAGAGGATTAAGAAAAGGATTAGACTGTAAATGTGTAGATTGTATTGTTTGGATTTCCGCTAGATATGATAGGTAAATGCAAGAATTTTTTACACAGATTAAGTCGAGTCTGCGAAAGGGTTCAAGAGATTTGTAAGAGATTTTTGTTTGCCTCATTTTCCTTATAGTTTCACTTATAGACATGAATCAAACTTTAAGCGAATATTTATATTAGTTTTGCAGTTTATACTTTAAGTTCAAGTTTTTCTATTTCTTTAAAATCTAAGCACTAAGCGCCCATCTAAGAGTTATTTTTACTCCTGTTTTGAAATCTTTTGTTATACATTTTAGCTAAATTGCTGGGCTTGCAGATGAACCGAACGAAACTCTGTATTAACTTAAGCTTAAGAGTGGTTATATTAACAACTTAGACGATTAATTAGTAGACGTTACATAACACGAGCAGCAATCGGGCAGCAGTCACTAAGGAGGTTAACGTGGCGACGCCTTAAAGCTAGACAAAGCACATGGAATTTAGTTTATGGGTATGGGGAGGGTCACAGCTTTGCAAGCACTCAGTGCCGCAGCCGCAGCAGTTGGTGCAGCAGCAAAACATACAGCAGCGGATTGGAGTTTGGCAACAATGAGCCGGACGAGACGCGCGGCTCCAGCGACAGAGTCTTGCACTTCTCCACTTTGCTATAGTCACTGAAGCCGGCTAGATTACGCGAGGCAGCGCGTATCAGATAGACGGTATCCGGCTCGAGGTTCGTTATGAGAAAATTGGCACCTGGGCGGACACAAAAAAAGAAATGAGAATGAGAATGAGAATGAGTCAGCGCGTGAAATGGCGAAAATGCTGCAGTTGAATAATGGCAGCGCGCAGATGCAGCTGGCACTCACCCTCCTCGTAGGGGAAATCCTTGCGCTTGGCATTTGTCCATTTGCCCGCATCGGCTTTGAATTCCATCTCTGTCATGTACTCGATGCGGAAGCCATTCACGTCCATTGGTCCGAGCTGATCCTTATCCCTCGGTGCGCTCAAATCAACATCAAAAGTGTTCGAGTTGTAGCCGCGCAGCTGGAAGACGGACGGCGGCGGCGGCTTCTCGCCCTCCTCGAGTCGTGTGATGCGCTCGATGCTGCCCAAATGATTGTGGGCGAGGCAGCGATAGTTGTCAAATACCTTTGCATCCAGCACACGGATAGTCAGACGCGACCAATGGCTATCCGACTCGATGGTGTAGAGCTTCTCGTTGCTCTCCAGGCGCTTCTGTTTGCGGTACCAGCTGAACGTGGCCGGCGGCTCCGCCTGCGCCTCGCACAAGATGCTCGCCGTGCCATTGATGTACGCGTACTGCAGCCCAACATGTGGCTTCTGCGTCCAATGCGGCTTATCTAGATGGATGACATTAGAGTTTCAATCAAGTTTTAATTCGAATTCGTTAGGCAATTTCAATTCGGCTGCTGCCCTCAGCTGGCGCGCAAAAGTATGCTACGAATTGTGCAACAACTCATGCGCTTTGGGCATAAATCAAATATGGCCGCCAAGTAAAGTCATTAGCAACATGTGTGCCACGCCCCCGCCCCCGCCCACACGTTATTGAAAGCATAAAACATATGCGAACGAAGCGTATGTAATTTTAAAATATTCTCGTGCTCCAAAAACTATTTGCCGCTAAGCGCGCTGCATACTAAAACGCACACAAATTCTAGAGGCGCTCGTAAAACTGCTCAAGTAATTTCCCTGCCATTCAATACAAAGGCACAGTGGTTCGATGTAGGCGAAAATGTGAAATACAGAATTAATTTAAATTTACATAATGCAGAAATATTCGAAAGTATAACCAAATCTGCAGTTGTGATTTTTTTTTTAAATTATAATAAAACTACTTTAATGACAATAATTTAATCTGAATATTTTTTTTAAATTTGTAAACAAAAATATATGTTTAATTTTAGAAATAATTAAATCAACTAAATCAAAGAGAATTATATTATTTATAGAAGATTAAGAGCTCAGAGGATATATGAAAAGTTAAACTCCTTAAAATGAAAAAGTTTATGTTTTTTCAGTATTTTTTAATTTTAAAATCAATAGTTTTATCTGTTAATATATTTCAATAAATTAATTTATAATATAATTTAATTTTCAAAACAAATACTATTATTATTGTAGTTATATGAATAGAAGTTGCTAATAAAGCAAAGCTTCGATCCAGTACTTATTCTAGTTATTGGTTTGAACCCACATTAATTTTCTTACAGATATAGCCAGCTACTGACGTACTACTATTCAAATGAGCATTTAGCATCTAGATAAGTTTACTTCTGCGAATTTCTCATAGCTAAATTAGTTAAATGAAAATGTTTTTTTTTTTTCCTCCAAATTTTTTCCAATAATTCCTGTTTAATAATAGTTTATTTCTATTAAAATTATTATTTACAAAAACTTCATTTGATATCTCTATAATCTCTATATTCTATATATGTATATTATATATATTTTTATTCTATATTTTTTCTATCAAACCAATACACTTTATAATATATTTTTACTTTTTTACCACCGCGCATTAGGTTGCACAAGTTAAAAAAAAACAAATGCAACATATAATTGACTTTTCTTGATTTTTTATCACACAAATGAAATCAAAATGTACATGTTTTCTTCTTCTTTTTTCCATAAATTTCCCAACAGCATAAAGCTATTATATCGTCATATTTTCTCTTGCTTTCTTTTTCCTATAATTTTCCCAACTTTTTGGCCAGTGTGCATTATTATGTTGTATGAGTTGAAAAAAATCATAAATCACACTCACGTTCGATTTTCATCAAAACTGTGCGCTCCTGCATATCGGAAGCAATCGAATTCACTTGGTATGCCCGGCACGTGTACTCGCCGGTGTCACTCTGTGTTACCTTGTTGATGAGCAAACCATCCGCCAGGATGCGGAATTTCGGGGCGTTTGCTGTCGAAAATGAGAGCGAAACATGATAAACGGGTGCAGCAAGAAAACAAAAATACAGAAAATATCGAAAGCATAGAAGGAGAGAGAGGGATAGAAAGACTGGGGGATAAAAGAGTTGAAAGCTCATTACAGAGCTCTGTCCGACTCCCGACTCACCGTCCACAGTAATGGGCTGTCCATTGAAATGCCAGGTGACATTCGGTTGCGGCTCGCCCTTCACCTCGCACAATATTGTCGCATTTTGACCTTCTTTCACAGTTTTAACTGTATCCTTTTCGGTAAATGTAATTTTCTCTGCAAATTTTTTTTTTTTTTTTTTTTTTTGGTGGTCAACGGAAAAATACAATGAAAAATTAATGAATGTGGTTGTTGGCTTGTCATTGCCATTGCGATTCCCATTTCGATCTGTGTACTTACGATATACAATCAAATCGAACGATTTACTATGCAGCCCTCCCTCAGCAGCTTCGCATGTCCAATTGCCCTTGTCCGCCAGAGCGATGTGTGCAAAAACGATTTTCAATTGCTCTGTGTGGGAAGTTAAATGAGAAAAAAAAGAAAAGATTGAATAAAATCAACATTAAATGAATGTAAGCAGCGCTGGGCAGCTTACTACGCGAGAGTTTTTATGTATTGTATATATATATATATATATATATATAGAAGATAGGAGGACATTATAGAGCAAACTAAGTAAAAGTGTCAAGCCTATATTTAAGGTTTTTTTTCGTGAGTCCAGCTAACTTCATATATAACAACTTTTTTGCTGGATATATTTTCATTAAATTTGTCTCTGTTTTATATTTGCATCCTACTAAATTTGTGTAAAATTGAATATTATATTTCTCTACTAAAAAGTAACTGAATATGATTCCAAAATATTTAAGAGATAAAATCGAAGCCATCAATAGTAATCTGGGATACATCAAATAGTACCAAATTCTAACTAACCAGTCAGAAAATCTGCAAATTAAAGAACATACATAGGAAGCCCCTTCTAACCCGGCTTAATTCATTCTTCCTCAATGTAATTGAAGAAGCATTGTTAGCTCTCGTGAGTTTAAAGAAGTTACAATTCTATTTGCTGTGTAAAGGCTCACAAGTTCATTATGTTATAGCTCCGCTTAGCCCAGAGAGCTAGCTCCAAGAAAATTGAATACAAAAATAGAAGGAAACTGCGCTTTGAGTGCGTGCAAAACGTTTCAATTAATTTTATTTATTTGTTCTGCCTGCTGGCGCGAAAGTCCTTTCTCAATTGGTTTCTAGCTGTTGGCTGTTCGATATTGGCGGAGTGTTTGACTCACCTGGCGCTGTTTGCTCGATGTGTATGCGTCCTTTGTGCTCGCGTATAATTTCGCCTTTCGGCGATTTCCAATGCAGCTTCACATCCGGTCCGGGGCCGCGGCACTCGACAATGAGGGATTCGTTGGTGTAGCGTACGACGCTGTGCTCGCTCGGACTGAGCGTCAGGCTGTCATGGTGATTGGCCAAGACGGCGGCTGTGTTTGGCGAGGGAAATATACAAAAGCGAAATCAATGGGCTTTCAAGCACATTAGTTAATGGTTCGTTAATTGCAACTGCAGCTGCACAAAAGCCAGCGCATTTCAAATGTAAATTGAAAACTTCTGTGCCAAAGTTTACCCAGTCGCGCCGATTCTCCCACCCCCCTTAACCTTCCACGATGTTTACAACAGCAGTGCGTTTTTTCTTTGCCAACTACGCAAATGGCACAATACATTATAACTTATACACACACCCCCACACTCACACACACATATACATGTTGCCTCTTACTGTATTTTGTGAGCAATCCCAACGGCCACATTTATAACTTGCTCCAACACAAACTAAATAATAAATATTTTACTGTATTTCATACTTCTGATTACAGACAGCAGCTAGCTCCTCTTTTGCCACGCCCACTTATCGTTCAGAGCTGTCGTCAAAATGTTAATGATAATTGCCCAGATTCGTGAAATTCTCAAAGGAGCATATATTGAATATTTAAGAAAGTTTGAGTGAATGAAGAGTCGAGGGAGACGAAGAGAAAAAATTGCCGAAGGACTAAAAAGACGATGTGAATGTCTGAATATCTGACGGCATGAATATATTACTCTTTTCATGTACCCTTCTATTCGATTCTCATGAGTTTATTTTATCATAAGAAAATTTAAATCGGCATAGTGGAAAATAAAATCAAGCTTCAAGAAGATGAAGCCAGTTGATATATATGCAAATAATAAATTTAATGAAATTATTTTTGACGTATGCAAAGAGACTTAATCAGTTATGCAACTCAGTGGAATATCTACTTAAGGTCGCCAGCTTTGAAGTAACCAGCTTAAATGCTCACCGCATTAGTCTACAAATTATTCCATTATCAATTAAATTACGTAACTTAATTATTGAAATATTATTTGGTTACTCAAGCACCATCTGCACCTGCATTGTCTGCTGCTCCAGTTATTGAAGTAATCAAGTCTTGCTCATGTTTATTAATGTGATGCAAATTTCACACAAACTGGAAGAAATGGAGAAAATGCAATTTGTGTTAGATTGCAATTACCGGCTAATTGGCCGTGTTTGCCACTATGCCGAATATATGTTGCTGTTTCGTAATGACATTCTGCAAGCAGTTGCAGCATGCCACATGAATCACTCATTCTTGATTCATATTGAACAACAAAGTGCACTCAAATTATTTGCATTTTGCATGCCACACATTTTCATATTTTCATTCAACGTTAGTGCGCCGAGGGGGCCGTAGACGTAGCCGTAGCCGTTAACGTAGCCGTAGCCCTAGCCGTAGTTGCCTTGGCAGGTTGTTCATTGAAATTTATCACAAGAAATTGCAATTTCATTCTGCCGCTTCATGTCAATCTGTTCAACAGAAACAACAACAACAACAACAAACTAAAATGAGATGTGAATACGTCCTGCGCCTGGTTAGAGCAAAGAGCGACGCATAGATGCAAAAATTTCTAGCATACTTTTTAATAAAGTTTCTTGTATGCCCAAAGTGCCAGAAAAAGGAACAAAAACAAAGTAAGATTCACCATCAGGACACAGGGTCGGTCGGGCAGGGACTGGCACAAGTTTTGCATAAAGTTTCTTTATACATTTTTCAGTGTTCTTTTTTCAATTTTGTATTCAACGAAGTTGCAATTTTATTGGCAACAAAATGGCCATGTTGAAGCAGGAAATAAAAACTTCTTAAAGCTATCAAAAACGAAAAAATTAAAATTAAAATCAAAAATACATATTTCCAAATATTGGCTTTATATAGACGTATATTGCAGACCTAGCAATCAACAAATTAATAAATTTCAATAGACAGAATATGAGCAATTGATGTGCATTGATGCTCTGTGCACAAACTTCGTGTATACGAAACGGCTGCCTTCGTAGATCACTCTGAAAGTCAAGTATTGAAATTTAAGAGAGAGAGAGAGAGAGAGAGAGAGAGAGAGAGAGAGAGAGAGAGAGAGTTGGAACTGCGCTAACTTTGCACTAAATCAATGTATGAATTAAAACGAAATTGTAAAGCCAAAGCAAACAGAGAAAATCATTGACTGTGTGATATTAAGAAATGAAAATTAATTTATTTGTCAATTGTTTTTATTATAATTAAAATATAAATATTATATATTTTACATACATTTATACGCTTGCCAAGAACAGCAGGAGACATACAGATGTACATACATAGCGGCATTACGCATTCGTATGCAAACCATCAAACATACAAACATAAATATGTATGTACATATGTGTGTATGTATGTATTTGCATAACACCTGCAGTCGACGACGCATGCCTTGGGTGAAGGGCATGAAACTGTTTGCTTATTTTGCGAATGCTGCTGTACGTATTGGTATTCTTGTTGATGTTGCTTTTGTTGTTGTTGTTGCCTGTCAACGTTTTCGCTATCCGGAATGGCTACGTCAACTGCGCACAATACGCGAAATACTCATCATAAAATTTCATGTGCACAACGTAGACGCTGCGCAGCCGAACATAATGACAGGCAGAACACAACAAGTAAGAAAGCTCTAGTCGAGACTGCTCGACTACGAGATCCCCTGAACCCTTGGAGCAATAGATATTTCAATACTTTTTCGCGACTTTCAGCTTACACAAGAAACACGCACACACACACACACACACACGCACGTACGCACACACAGGTATACATACACACACACGCATACAGACACACATACACACACACACACGCATACAGACACAAACGCATACACACACACACATACACACACACACATACACATACAAGCAACCACGCATAAACACGCATGGGCTGCAGTGTGCGCTTACTATGAGAACTTAATTGTTTAATAACTTTTTTTATGGACGTACGATCTTCATGAAACTTTTAGATTATGATTATAACATGAATATGCATGTAATTGCCAAAGCACAAGTCTCTAGTATTTGAAATACGCTTTTTACAAAAGTGAGGGTGAGGGGGTGAATTTAGAGGTGGGGGGTAAATTTTAACAAAAACCGAAATTGTATAAATTGCATATAAGCATACATTAAAAATTTGGAGACTCTAGCAATAAAGGTGTAGAAGATATAATTTTATAACTGGGTTTCGATAAGGTTTTTTATCGATAAAAAAGATCGGGATGAGTTATCGATTTTTAATGATAAACTTGATATGCGCGCTGTAATAACGAACATTTTAAAAAAAATTTGAAGTCTCTATCTCTTATATCTTCTGAAATCGACGCGTTCATACATACGGACAGACGGACAGACGGACAGACGGACAGACAGACGGACAGGGCCAAATCAACTCAGCTCGTCACCCTGATCAAGAATATATATACTTTGTGGGGTCTGCCACGCCTCCTTCTCCCTGTTACATACATTTCAACAAAACCATTATACCCTGATTTCCCATTGAAAATGGGTTCAGGGTATAAAAAAAACAAGTAAGAAGGCTCCAGTCGAGACTGCTCGACTAGGAGATACCCTGAACCCTCAAAGCTGATATTCTAATCATTCTGGACTTCTTTTATGCATACATACATACACATGCACTTATAAGCACGGGCTCTGCTAACTGCGCAGCTAGCAGCGACTGCGCTTGGGCTGCGCAGCAGTGCACTATGGGGAATTTTGCCGTTTTTCGGGTATTTAGTCATTTTTGCGAAGTATGAAAATTTATAATTTTTTTATGTTAACATCTTAATAAAACTCCAAACTTTAAGGTACTGTACCCAAAATGTTGAATAACAGTCCACTGTTAAGCCTAACAGCTGTTAAAGTCAGCTGTTATCTTCGAAAAGCATTTGCCTTCAGCTTACAATTTGTGTTAGCCGATTTTCAAATCATCGTTATTCAATGACCAGACATTATTTTTGAGAAATTTAAAAAGGATATGAATTTTTAGGGCTTCTACTATGCGTTGGCTTAAAAACCAATTGATGTTTGAACTTATTTTAATCATTTATTGTATAATTAGCAAATGTTGTCAAATTTCATTTCTTGTAAATAAAATTAAACTTTGCAAAGACATATAAAACAGCCACCAGGGCGCACCAGTGTAATTCCAATTGCATGTTATAGAGTAATCAATTGGGATCTTAGTGCCTTTGTCTCAATGTGCACTTTTGCGCACAACCGGCGCAAATCAATTTTTAGCAGGTGACTATGAGCTGACCTGTGTGATATTTGGCTCAATGAAAAAGGCAACTCTAACCAAGAAATAGTAATTGTGATTTTGAAACTAAATAAGACTAATATTGATTCAACTTATAAATGATATTAAAAAAGCAAAAGCCGCTTTTTTTGCCAAAATATAAATTACAAATGGAAGAAATGCAGCAGGAACAAAAACTAGCTGACAACTATGAATGACTGCCTATGACAGCAAATGTTTATAAAAATAATTGTTCATTTGAGGCAGATTATGGAAAGTACTGTTCATCCTGTAGGCTTTTTTGGTAAGGAAGCGTCTGATTTGCCCAACCAGGTCTATAAATCAGACTAATTTCATCATGCATGAGAGCATGAGAGCAGAATCCATAATTTCGCTGATGGTTTTTAACAATGGATACATCTGATCAGATTATTTCTTCGGCAAATCTTTAGAAAAGAGTTTGAAAGCATAAAGGTCGCTGTCTAATGAAGTTGTACGTATTGTATTATGTAAAGTTGAAGGCACAATTAAATCAGTTGAAGAACCCGAATTTTTTTAGCGGATCAATATTTCTGGCTGATTTGGAACTCGAAACTGAAGAAAACTAATTTCGATTTTATGAAAGTTCGATTGTTTTCAATTAAAATTATTATTTTAAAAGTATGAACAAGCAAAATTCTTAAAAAAAAAAAAAAATTTTTAATACAAAATTTTAATAAATTTTTTTTGGGTGGGCGGTGACACGCCCATTTTTCTAAAATATATTTCTGATGGTATACATATTAATAATACAAAAACCGGATCAAAAAATCTGGCTTAGTTTTTAAGTT